AGTTTCTGTAGTTTAAGGGTCCATGTAACACACCAGGAAAGCTTGATACTAGTTTACCCTCTATTTTGGCCGTGTCTCTAATTTTTACTCCCCATTTCGCTTTCTCTATAAATTTTATACAATCTGTTTTTATTGCCGAGGCTTTTTCTTTTGTTAATTTCACAGTCATTGTGACGGAGTTAATTTCAAATACCATTGTTATTAATTTCCAGGAAGTGATAAACATCGATTTTTCTGGATGCACTAGGAACCCTAATTGGGTAAATAATGTCACTGTATCTATCACATTGTTCTGGCATGCATCGTAAGTTTCCCCTTGTTAATAGAAATCATCCAGATGTTCCGAGATGATGTGCCCTTTTGAGTGTAATGTAGCTAAGGGGTTTTTAGAGTTTTTGTGAACTTCCGTGGTCCACTAGAAAAGCCGTTGTGCAAGCACGTAAATTGATATAAAACACCCTTCCCATGGAATCTCAGGTACTTCCTGTCAGTGTATTTTTTCGGGATTGAGCAGTAACTATTATATAGTTACTATTATATTTTTAGCAATCATTCTATCAAACTCAGTTTGTATTTGCAACAATTCGATTTTTTCTTTGGGAAGTATGACTTATCGCGCTTGTGAAAATCTCTGATCAACGAACACGCAGTGCAATGATCGACAAGCGACGTGCGCGCGCTTCTCATGTGACTCCGTAGTGACGTGTTGATGACGTTGTACAATTGTATTTCCTGCTCATAGTTTGACTTCGTTTGACATGTATTTTGAGTTAATGTTTATGGTAATTTTTGTATGTTTTAAATCCACATGGGTAATGTCAGATATCATATGTTATTATGTATCAAAAGAGAGAAAGATAAAATAGCTTTTTGTCTTTAAATTAACACAAAAACACAGCGAACAGTGACCAGAGTTTACCAAGAAATTGATAAACAATGCGTCGCACTTTTAATTGATTGACTTCATGTGAAACTACAACTTTAAGATTAGTTAGTGCATTTAAGACTTGTATGACACATTTATTTGCTTTCTCCTCCACGTTTTGTTCACCAAAAATGTGAAAGCACTGTGACCAGAGTCACAGAATGTAAATACCTACACCGAATTCAAATACGTTGCTTCAAGCTCACGGATTATTCGACCAAACAAAATGCACTTCATGTTTGCGATGGTTAGCAATTCTTTTAAATTTTCATTATTGTCAGTATAAATACAAGGGACATTACTGCACCATTATAGCGTAAACAAAACGAATTTTGAAAATTATGTTTTTTATGCTATATACAGAAACACGGGAATTTCAGTTTCGCAAAAGTCTCACAGTTTCCGTTTACACGGGAAGAGTAAAAGCTATTTAAAAATATAAACTATGTGTCATTGAACTCGGTAAATTTATTTATTTGATGTTGTTTTTAAAAGACTATTTTTTATAAAGGAAATGGAAAATATTTTTACTTGCATAAAGAGCAGATACTGTTTTTTGTCCATTTAAGATCCATATTTCACTTGCAAATAAATCACTTTCAATCCCCCCAACCCAAACACTATCCCCAGTTCTCAATCTGACCAAATTTTAACCATATACCCAAATATATGTTGAATTTATCATGCAGTTTTCTAGCTTAGATCACTGTATGTTTCATTAACATTATAACTATACCTTATTTAATAAAAACGACAAGTTGTGAATGTAGTATCTGCTGTATCGATGATTTTAAAGCTAGAGGGTGAATAGTTAGTTTTGCATGAAGGTGATTTTAAAAGGTGTCAAAAGATATGTGTTTTTGTCAGTTGTGGTGTGTTTCCTGATTCTGGTGGATAAGTGACGGGAAGTTTCGCCAATGTATCGGGAATTACATCTCACACAATTGAATTGGTATACCACCATAGATTTAATAGAATCGGGGATTGGGTCTTTGAATGATATGTTTATTTTAAAAAAATTGTCGTTTAAATGCGCAATATCAATAGTGCTTTTACCCAGTTACGGCAACTATACCTTAATTATGATGTTAGATTAAAAGAATATCAACATTCTCACCATGATCATCTGAAAATCTGTTTCTGGTTCATAAAAAACCTGTTTCGTTTTCTGTGTATGATGTGATTCACAAGGCCTGTCAAGAGTGAACTGTCTACCAAGTTTTATATTGCATTAAAATATGAACAGAATAGACAACACAAGTTTTGAACAACATTCAAAAAACATGTTGTGAAAACCCTCTTTCAACCGTTTTATTTATATGAAACTAAACCATATTTTGAGGGGAGGTGCAAGTACATGTACAAGTTATAAAATTGCTTTGAAAACCCCTTAACATTTATTGCATCTCTCTTGCGCGTAAGGGTGCTATCATTTCTGCGGGAGGCAGTAAATATTTTCCCCAACTCACAAAAAGTTCCCCCCATTTTTGCCCAGCTATCATTTAAAATTTGCGCAACTCTTCAATCTTCAAATATTCTTGTGGGGAAGCTGCTCCACTGGCCCCTTGTCCTGTATGCTTATGGAAGGAGGGCTAAAGTATGAGGAAGTGTGCCAAATTTTTTTACTAGATTTGTTCTGACAAGCTTAGACTGTCCAAACTGTTATTTATTGTTTCAAAGTTCAAAACAGGGCGAAATGCTTAAGCTCATCTACCAAACCATGAATTTGGAATGAAGTTAATTTAATTTCACAATCAAAAGTACAGGTTTTTAACAAAAACCAGTGGGAACTCCAAGTTGTCAAGAATAATCTAATTTTGGTCATGGTAATCACAACAGTTCACTGTTAAATGAAGTATCGCACACGAAAACACATAAACAATTACATACTGTGTAAATTTCACAATGGCTTCACATAGTCCAACATTGCGAATCTGCTTTTCAATATCCATCTTTATTATCTAGTTCCAGTCCATGATCAGGCACCACGGACTACATTTTCCTGGGGACTTACCCCGAAGTTTAGTGCTGGTCGGGAGTCTTGAACTAATTTCAAGAATTCAAAAATGGCTACAAAATTATTGAAGGAGGAGGAGCCTACCCAGCTCCGTTCCACCCTGAACGTTGACCCTAATAACTTGCTGTTTCGAAGCTTTAAAAATCAACGTTTTGTCTTGTGCGGTCCTATTTCATCCTTTGCAAAGATAGCTGCGTAAGATTTTTAGTTTTCTGTTTTTCCTTTTCTTCGAGTGAAAAGTGATTTTTTTACCTAGATCTCATTACCAAATTATGCATTTTTATAGAAATTGTTTAGGATTATATATTTAGATTATTTTCCACTGAGCCTTTTTTATTCAAAATTCGGAATGATACTTTGTCTGAAATTTGAATTAAAGTCGATCCTCACTTTGATCTTCACTTACGACATAATCATAAGCAAAAGATTATCAAGACATGCCATACTTGTTCATTGATACTTACGCTTGTGTTTAGAGAACGTTGACCTTACTTCGGAAAATATATCTGCAAATGCCAAATAACACGCGAATTTGGGGGTTTTATTCCTTAAAGCTATTCTTAAACTACAGAACTATCTAAATTAAATTCATTCAAGAATGTGCAGTTATCTTCTTTGTGTAAATACCCTTATATTCAAATTGCTCCTTCAAGTATAATTGTGAAAAATGTACAAATGATATGAGTTTAGCAGAAGCACCGGGGGATAGTTGAAATTTAATTTTTGGGTTTTGGAGGGGACTTCAGAAAAGAACTAATATATTTTTTAATTGTAAAAAAAATATTCTTGAAAATATTGCCTCTTGCCGGTGCAACCGCTTTTAGCATTTAAGAGAATCTCTAACTATATTCTTAATACAAGTCTTTGTAGATTAAATTTTTTCAGTTTTCTTACATGAATGAATGTACTATATATTCCAGTGCAAGATCAGAATACTAGAAATGTGTACGGCAATATGAGTATGCAACTTCTAATAGTCTCATGCTATTCCTGCTAAAAGTCTATGTAGATTGAATGCGCTTAACAATACAGTTTTCAATGAATAAATGTCATTACATCCGAGTACCATGCATCAAATTAAATGTTTACATGAATGTTTTGTTCTCGTGCACCCTTTCTGCCACGTCTATCCTTGGGTTGGTCGAGTTTTTCTTTAGCAATTTGCTCCTCGCGTTTTTTCTTGCGGAGAAGGTCGCTAGGCATGTTGGGAATGGCGTATGCAAGAAGACCTTTGAACACCGACATCGTAAACTGAAAGAAGAATATGAATACGAAGCGACCGGCCATTACTTTCCAATGTTGTGCTGTGTAGTTCTCCGCAGAGCCAAAAGTTCTGTAACCAGTGTATCTGCAATGTTTAAAATAGATACCAAATAATTATTACCTATAAAAATCAACAAAATTTGCATAGTCAAACTGTATAAAAGCCAAAATCAGAACTATGTCTCTCAGGCAATGGGGAACTCGTTAAAGTAATTCATAACCCAAAAAGGAACTAGAACCTTGAGTACTAGATATATTATGACTTTGCCAAAATTCTATAGTTACGAATGAGGCAAGCCGCCATCTTGAAAGGTGGCAAACTGACGATATTTACGACTAATATCTGCTTTTCAAGATTTTATATAAAATTACAAAGTCCATGGTCTAGGTTTGTTTTTTAAAATATTCGATAAGACTACTTTTTTAAACTTTCTTTCAACTTGTTTTTTATTTTGTGTTTCGCTTTTTGCTTTCTTTGAAAATGGTGTCCTTGCCTTACCTTGACAGATTAGTTGGACGTCTAGAGGGTTGGGCTCTAAATCATTGTTTACAAAGGTGTTGTGAAAACTGAGAGGCAAAAATTCTGATAGAATAACAGCTGAACTGCATGGAGACGCACGCATTTAAGGAACGCGAATCCCATTAAACATTTTTGTTAAGACATTGCATTTTTCCGAATGGACTGTTTTGAACATTAGACATCATTTTCACTTTATACTTTTACTTTTCATGTTTTTTGGTCGTTTAAGTTTCGAATTGTTTACTTCAATATTGCCATACTGCAACGTTGGATACAAAAGGTTAAAAAATGCCAATGTGCTTTCATTCAGCCGACAAAACCCATAAAAACACGAGAACAATTTTTGAAGAGTGCTTTGGTGTTACAATAATGAGAATACTGACCTACAGTAAGGCGGAGGATTGATACATCCAACTTTATACATCTCATTCGGTCTCGACTCATTGCTCCACAAGGTGGTGTCGTAATATGACAGACTATTGTTCAAATAGCCGTCGAGTGATTCGTCAGGACTGTAACTGTATTTATATACCATCTTTGGGATGAAGTCGGAGGTAAACGCCATTACAAATGCATTTACGAGAACAGAGAATGCAGAAAGGGCTTCGAGGATCGGGTACCAGGCGCCAATATCCTCAGCCATCTTCGGAAAGCGTCGTTGCTGGTTCCGAATGAATTTGATGGCGTCAAAACAGATTTTCATTATGCCATTTATAAATGCAAAAAACGGAGCCAATGGGAATGCAGCAACAAACATCATGACAAAACCGAGCTGTAAGACTACAAAGGAATGTAACAAGATGGTGTCAAATTATTTTCAAAGTAAGTCCCGTAATTTACTTGACTGCCCCCATTGCAGGGAGTGGGAAGATATGAAGTTGTTAAATGGCTGCTTTCAAATTTGCAGGAGATTGTCTTCAAGTTATGTTAATTACATGATAATATATATAATGAAAATGCTCTTCCAGGCATAGTTGCTTTGGTTGGACGAATATTCGGATTTAGTCAGTTTTTTTTTATAAAAGTCAATACAGTATAAAATATCTGGTGGAGATATTGGAAAAATTTAAAAAGATCAAAACATGACAATATCAAATAATATATTGGACAAAACCTTTGAACGAAAAAAGAAAAATTTTCACTGCTGTAACATAGTAGCAATGTAAGTGAGATCTTTTGATACCTACCAACTTGCAAGTACTCCTTGAACAATGTTCCGTCCGAAACAGAAAGAAAATAATCTTGTTCCCATTGTGGTAAATGTGGTATGCTTCCTTTCTGCGTGTTACGTTCATTCCACAACTTCTTCAAATACCTAGAACAAAGCCAAAACTTTTATTTTAACATGTTTTATTTAATATAGGTTTAATGAAGTGTAGATTGATGCAATGGCGGACCTAGGGTGGGTCAAAATAAATTACTGCACTTATATTTCTAAGTACCTTGGAGGCAAATCAACTTATAAAATAACATTCTTTAGAAATTCAAAACCAATAGTGTTTTTCTGAAAGTACTTTAAATTTAAAAGTGAGCAGCAATAATTGATTTTGACAAACGCTAGATCTGCTACTGGATTGATGTAAATATAAGTCATTAGCAAAATAGAGCTGCATGTGACAAATAAATTTCACAGTTATCAAGAGCAAATCACCAGAAAAATGTGGAGCAGCAGAGAACTGTTATTTTATTGACTGAAACCTCGGGAAATGGAGAGTATTACTGTTCTTCGACCGGCATTGTTTCAAACTGTTTACCTCGCAATCTGGGTCTCAGTCAATAAGTAATAAATGTATGTGTGCATGTGTGTGAAATTGGCTTCAATGACTTTAATGAAACACTTACAGTATTATTACTTCAGTAACGTTACTAATGATTTGCTGCCCCACCATAATTATAACCAATTGTATGCACAACTCTACCAAGCATCCTTGCGGTCCGCACGTGTCTAGACGCCAGTCCTTCACACCAAAAGGTCGGAGGTAATGTCCGGGAGTGCCCACAAACAGGTTTATCTTGAAGAAAGCAATGTAGAACAGGGAAGAGTACATGTTCACAAATTGATAGATGTACATTTTCACCGTGTAGCTGTCGTCCCAGTCCGTCTGAGTACGCGGATTCTGCCAGTTTGTAAGCCAATATGCAACGTACTTATACACAAACTTGAGGATATTAATGAAGATGAGATTAAGGACAGCCGCCGTCATGGACGTGAGGACTTTGGCGTTTTTGCGAATGCTTTCATCTGAATTTTTTGCAGCAGCCGCATAAACAGCCGTTCGATATAGAGCAACACCGATCACAACAGATATAACTAGAGTAATCATGAAAGTAACGATGCTGATAACACCTGCATACTTCCTGAAGATGGTCGTCCTCGGTATGTACGTCTCCATACGATTAGTGACCGGGTTGTCACGAAGTGTTGTGACGACTGCAGCATACTCTGATCTGATATGCTCCTCCACCTCTTCAAAATCAGACGTATGCCATTTATAAGAAAGAGTCGCCTGTAGACGTTTCCAAAGCTCAGGATGAGCGTTGACCATATAGACATAATACAGGCAAAAGCAATGGTGAAGTTGTTGTCGAAGAAATGAGCCCGCGCATATACGTACAATAATCTTTTAGATACCAGTACCAGCATTGTTTATCGCAAAGTGGACACATTACGTAATCGGTCTGTTACTGTCACAAACATCCTTCACAGGAGGAAGCTGTAAGAGTCGCCAACTCCGTAAAGGAACGCTATGAAGCCAAGGAAAGCAACAGGTGCTAACATTGTGCAATAGAAACCAAGCCAGGCAAAATACATTGCAATAGATGTTCCAAGATAATCTTTAATCGAGTCAAGTGGCTGATACTTGTACCATTTTCTAAAGCGTGCCCACTCCCATCGCAATCGCTGGCGTTGATTTTCTGGCTCACCACCCTCTGGGACCTAAAATAAAGCAAGGAGAAATGTTGGAACTTTGGATAACATGTATAAGCATCGTCAAAATCAATGAAAAGTGAACAGTTTGCTTTTTTTCTTACAAAAGCAAAATAATGTTTTTATAATGTTTTATTTTGATTTCTCAAATTCACAAACGCGTGCGACGCACAAACACAGCAATAGTAATTGAAAAAAAGACAAAAGTTTTCATTAGCAGTTTTAAGAAATAAATTAGAGATTTACATTTTCAACGATTTCATTCATGTCAATAGGAAATAGTTTCTTCACCATTAAGCATGTGGATTTTAATTTTTTATTGCTTTCTTAGGGCGATGGACCTGGTGACGAGAATCTCTACTTAACATACAACTCCAAGAGGACACTAATCCGCTCCCTGACAGTGTTTGATCAATACAGGTTTGATTGCATAAAAAACATCTGTTAAAATACGATTTACTTAAAGGGCAGGATCACGAAAGACGGCAAATATTTGAATTCTTTGCCATGGTATCATTTTTTTCTTTGCTAATATATCAAATACGCCACAATCCATTCATGTAAATGATGTAGTTGATGTAGTTTATTAAACTATTAATGCATGACGAGAAATGACCATTAAAAAACTTTTCGAATTATTTATACAGAAAAAGTGCACACGATCTTTAAGCAACAATTTCTTTTCACAATTTTCAATAATAGAAATACAACACTATTACAGCTTGTTCATAACTTGTTTCATTTCTGGTATTTTTACTCATTGGGTGAAGCGGCAAGGAGATGCGTGCCAAAGAGAAAACGAAGTTTTAGTTGTTAAAAATTTTCGTTCATTATTCGTTCAAACTATCTATCAAAGAAAACTATCTCATCACCATGCAGAGTCTTAAATTTGTAGTGCATATTTTGAAGAAGATTTACTATAACAGTGTTTTTCTGTATGATAAAAGCTACATAATCAATGCATGAGTTTTCCTATGGGCGTCACTTCCGGTGCAGAATCAACTATTTGTAGGCCCAAAAAGCCAATGAAAATAAATTTCAATCTATCAAGTCTATTGCAAATGCTCTTAAAATCAAGATATCTATTTAAAAAAGTTATTTCCTTGAACCTCGTTTAGGCATTTGAAAAAATTGAAGCAATAAAGACTGTAAACAATGAATACAACGCTAACCTCACACGGTCCGTCGTGCAATGGATAAATTCCCTTGAACGCGTTGGTGAACTTCAAATTAGCAATACCAACAACCTTGTTCAAGTCCTCCGAGGCATCGAATGGCGTCTGTCCCATGATTCTTTCGACTATGCGCACACGGTCGGTGGGAGTAAAAAATGTATCATAGTTATCAATGCCCACAAACTCAGCCTCATGCTCCTTTGTAAAGTACGCCGTGAAATACATAATGTCGTCTGGTGTAATATGTCTATCGTATTCTAAAGGATTTGCATTGTTGAATTTTGCCACTAACTGCTCGCCAAACACGGTTTCAAGTGTCGATGGAATTTTTATGTCCGATTTTTGCAAGGGCATGCGCAGAAACATCTCTTCGGCCATTTTGGTCAATACGTCCCAAGGTGCATGAATTTTGACAAAAAACGTCTTTGGCTTCTTGTCGTTGTCATTTGTGTCCTGTTAACGGGAAAAATTTGCTAATCATAAGCCTAGATAATAAAAATACATAAATACTTTTAAAAAAATACTTTAAATTTCTAAAGCAGTGCAGGTAATAATTTAAATAAATAATGCCAATGATCTAAAATTTACATAGCACGAACAAACATGCGGGCTTGCTAGCCCACTGGGTCTGGAGGTGATTATACTTTCTTTAAACATATGAAAATTTAATTTAATATCATTGAAATAATATAAAATAAAAAATATACTTTATAAAATACAAAACAACAGTGACTTCAATTTGTAATTTTATTGCTAATTATGTAATTTTGTAATTCTTGTCGTTTAGTAAATTTTATAATTTAGTAATTTTTGTACTTTAGTAATTTTTAAAATTGGTAAATGTAAAACGATGACATTTCAGTAGCTATTTACAATTTAGCTGATAGCTTTCTGCTCTGAAGAGTTTTTTTGTCAATCTGATACATCTTGACAAGAATGCAAATTTCAGGCAAGTGAAGCACATGATGAAAGCACTGGTTTGGGCTTGACAAGACGTCATGTAAGCATATGGTTTTGGGTAATCTTTACGTAAGTTTTTACCAGCCATTGCAGACACTTTTAAACATTTATTAACTTATTATATTTACCTTTACCCTTAAACAGGAGAAAGGTCAAAGTCGTTGTTTAAGACCTTATTTACATTACTATCATTTATAGATATAATAAGTACAACAAACTGTCATACAATTAAGAAGCAACTTTAAAAGATTGACTTAGAACACTCTACAGAAGACTGTTTTAGAAGACTGAATATTCCTTTAAATTTTAGTAAATAGAAGAATCAAACTAATCATAAATTTTCTTTTCAGTTTTGATATCAAAACATCGAGCAAAATCATCGATCAAAATCATTCATGCAATTAAAGAGACTTCAATATTGAATTGGCAGCAAACCTCAGCGTTTTTCTCTTTTTGTATTTGGTCAATCTCTATAAGAAGACCTTTAGCCTTCAAACCGTCGATGTAGAACTCGCGGATTTTGTTTTTTTTATCTTCTTCTTCTATTTCATCATCATCTTTCAGAGTGGATGGGTCTGGAATCTCGTATACCATAATCATATCGACCATACTGTGTCCATCTCGCATTTTGTTCATTGATACCTCGTTGTTCACACAAGTATACAAACACAAATATAATATATATTGTTTCCTCTTTTGGTCATAGATTCAAAGCATCCCTGTTTAATTCGTAACTATACACCTTAATTAATATGCTAACTTCCGTCATCTTATATGGCGCGCCAAGATGGACAATATTACCAAAATCGAAAATATTTACAACGAAACACATTATCGTATGTCGAAAATAATATACTGGCAACTTTTTCAATATTTGTAGAAAGAAACGCAAAAATATAAAAGAAAACAAAAATTCGTTTACCATAATTTATATATACACAACGAAATTTATTTTTCAAGTTATGAAAATTATTTTTATAAAACGAAACTCATTTATATAAAACGAAATTGACATTCATAAAACGACATTTTCTTCGAACAAACGACATTTTTTACCGCGCCCTGCCACTGACATCAAAGAAAAAACGGCGTTTTATTTCGCGTTCCGTGAACACTGTCGACGACTCGTTATCTTGTTCCTTCCATCCTTTCTGTCTGCCTGTCCTTATTTGATGAAGTACATCGAAACATTTTTACGAAAGATAATGTTACGGCTGAGGTGATAATAGCTCGTTCTGAAGAATACTAGTGTGGCCGATGCCTACTATCTCGCTTTCAGGATGGACTAACGAAATAGTGCATTTTTTCACAGATGTTATTATGGTTTTTCAAAATAAAATTGCAAAACTTTCAACTCAGTTTAACATTAATAACGGCAATGAAAACGATCAATACGTATGCCCAATGGAAGAGAACGAAATGAGCTCTGCCGGAAGGCCACGATTTTTTATTACAAAAGAACAAATTGTTGGACTGCGTAGCTTGTACTTTTCACGGAAGAAATTTGCAGGGATGCTTAATATTTTGGAAAGAACAATACGGCGACGAAGAAAAGATCTTCGCATGGAAATTGGGCAGGCTGTGAGCTATAGCGACATAAGTGATGAAGACCTTGACGCCTATGTAGAACATATCTTAAATCGTTCCGCAAATTCAGGAGAGAGAATGGTATTTGGTGCACTAAAAGGATTTGATTTAAAGGTCCACCTTGTAGAATTGACATGACCATAATTTCCCCTGCATATTTGTACAAGTTCTGTGTCAATGCCATGGTGCTTTCCAAAGGCATTCCTCTTTCATCAAACAGCCACATCCTCAACAAAAGTAGTATTTCTAGAAAACATCATCATGTTACAGGACATTAAAGGGTAAAACATTATGCACTAAATTTATTTTTTCTGTCACATTACCAGAAAAAAATTCACGCCTTGGACCTCCATCGTCAACGGCAGGTTCACCTATGAAGATGACATTAATTTTGTTTTTTGGAGAAAACCAAGAACATTTTATCCTCCTATCCAAATAGTCGCTCAAAATACTGATCCTTTGCACATTTACACGATTTGTGGTTTGATCCAAATTTTTTTCTAGTCTTTTCAACTCATCCGGCAATGAAATTGTAAAAGTTCAGTATTCTCAGCTGCTGCATCAGACGACAAATGGTGATCCTGGTCATCTTTAGGTTGATTCTGGCCATCTTTACGTTTAAATTGAGACATTATACTGACATAGTGCTGTTCAGTGCCTTTTCAAGCACTTCCACAACACAAATCAGCATGCTCTTCAATTTCATCAATTTTTAATTTCATATTACAAGTTGGACACAAAATTGATGAGGTTGTAGATGCGGCAGCCACACTTGACGTTTCATGAGAGATATCATGCAAGGACGAATGTGGAGTTGTGTCTCTTTTGCCAGGGTTGTTGGTTGTTAATGAGGTATGAAATCTTGGTATGTATGTTTTTGTTTCTCTCTTGGTTTTTGATGTTGTCGTGGGTTGAGCGAAATTAAGTGGTTTGTTTAAGAGCTCTTGGTTGATAGACGGGTAGAAGTCTACAATGTCGAAAGATATGAAGTTGAGATTTTGTTTGTGATTGATGGAGTAGAACCACTTGATCACAGATGACGAGTTTTTCCATTGGTTCAGCGAAGTGTCTTTTATGATATTGTTGTTTATTCTGCCAAGTATTTTTTTGCTAATTTTTCCAATTTCAGATTTAGTCGGGTTGATTAGTCGGCAGGTGGGTTTATTTGGGAAGTTCGGTTTGTGATCTTTGAGTGTTATGAATGCGTCTTTGTTAGCGGTGGAGTCTACTCTGTCAGATATACCCAGTTGTGATGTGATATTTTTGTCTTGGCTGTGGATGGCTTGTATTGCGTCGACGTTTATTTTCTTGTATGATTTCGTGATATTTTGTTCTAGGAGGTTGTATTGCGTCGACGTTTATTTTCTTGTATGATTTCGTGATACCTAACTTCCTCTTGTATATATAATCAAGCACATACTTTTGTATTCATTTAAGATTATCCCCTGATGAGTGAGAAATAACGAAACAGGCTTATCGGGATGAAATTGTAGTTTTTGTGTATTTTCTTCTTATTATCAATATTTTAAATTATATGTAGTGACTACATATATTTACGCTCTGCTCTCTGGCATCGAGCATTGTTTAATACGGAGAATCATCACACATAAACTTCCTATATTTTAAACTATATATTATAAGGTGCTTCGAGCCTTCATCAGAATGACAAACAATATATAAAAAATAATTACCCTAGAAACTTTATAAACAAAACTATAAACAGATTACAAAACAAAACAAAAGTAACAAGAAACCGGACGAAACAGTAAAAATCATCACATTAACGTACTTAAACGGAACATCAAAAATAACTGCCAGACTTCTTCGACCATTTAATATTAACGTCGCCCACAAACCTACACAAAAACTCAAATCATGTTTTAGCAAACATAAAGACAAAAACAACAATTCAATGATACAACCGACGCGATCTACATGATACCATGTAAAGACTGCTCGAAACAATACATAGGACAAGCATCAAAGAATATCGAAACAAGACTCACAAAACACAAAAACGCCATAAAACGACGAGATCCGAACTCATTACCGGCAGAACATACCCACGGAAATAACCATACATTCGACCGGACAGAAACTCAAGTAATCGGACGCGCACAGACTAAACACGCACGCGAATTTGAAGAAGTTTGGTACAGTAAAGACAACGACGCAATAAACAGATATATTGACATACGAATTATATATTACTTATATACAAGTTAAGAGAAAGGAAAAAACAACAAACAACACCAAAACTACAAAGTTAGACTGTAATAATACTAGGAGTTACTATCGCAAGGTAATTGCTGCCTCTCGCACCGAGTAGGCAAAAAGTGCAAATTGCTTTTGGGTGTTTTCCATCTTTTATCATCTGTTTTAAGCGACACAATACAAAATGGACAAAACCACAGTAATTTTAAAACATACAATTGATATGATGAGCAAAAAACTGCAATATCTTGTATATTTTGTCACTTAATATAGACAAAGTAATTTTATCGCATTTTATTTTCAAATTCTCATATAACTAAGTCAATTTATAGAAGAACATGCAAGAAGTAACACTGTATGTATGTATAATATGCTAATATTAAATTGGGCATAATTGACAAGCAGTATTCCAAAGTTCATTTTACAAAACGTGCATGCTAAAGGCAAGCGGCAGCAAAGCAATTGCTTCATTTAAGTTATTGATCTTTACATTTATATGTTGCAGTTGACATGAAAGTTAGAACTCAGCCAATAACCAATTAAATCATGTTAACTGGAGCTTAAAGGATGTTTTCTGTATTTTTTTCAATTTGTTGCCAGCCAGCACAAGATCAACACATCCATTAACACTAACAATTAGATGGTGTCATATATGTGTCTCTCAGTCTCCCAGTGTTTGTGTGTAAGTATATTATTTGATTTTATCTGGATTCATGTTACTCAGCTGTTTTCAGCAAGGAATCACTTTTATACACATACAAACTTGAATGGTACATTCCATGTTGCGGTCATTATTCATGGCACATTAGCATTCTATTTACAGACATTATACATACAGTGATCATGAGCATGGAATTTACTTTTTGTATAGGATTGACTATATAAGTGTAACGCGCTCGGAAAGCCGACGGCAAGCTCGAGTGAACATAAATGTATCCGCTTCTGGTGCTTTACTTTCGACGATTATAGAGACGTCCTCGCAAATTTAACATAAAATTCATTGCCATTTTGAATGAAAACCGTTGTTATTAGATAAATACTATATCATCACTTGTCATCCAAACGCTTTGTGAAGAGTAAAATCATCGTTCACAGATAAATCGAACGAAATTTTCTTCTGTAAATGAACAGAGTCAACAGAGTAATGATCAAATGAGTTTAACATGTTAAAGCAAAACTTTCCTGTTAGTTTATTAGTTGAGTTGTCCTGGTAAAATTTATAATTCTTCTAAAACTCTTGTGGACGTTATTGTCCGGTATTTATGAAGCTGAAATATTTATAGTTGTATAATTATGAAATGTGCGTGTCAGTCTATTCCAAGGTCATGTTGTGTTTATCAAATTGATAGATACTTTACCATAATAAGCTCTACTACAACTCTCAGTTCGGTATTTTTCTTGGCCATCACATTACACATACGTACATATTTTAAAACGAACATCATTTGAGATGCTCAAACAGTTATACTTCATGAAACCATTCTTAGCTCTGGAACTGTAAAGTCACTATTGAGAGCTTTTACTTATTTATTGTCTACTTGTAATAACATATTATTGTCGATTTCAGTTAACTTTTCAAATGGCGGTTGCCAAGTTACTTTCTAATGTTGCCAACTACATTTCCAAATATGGAATATTCGTTATGAACTTGTCAACTTGAGTTGACAAGTTGTGTACTTGAGTACTGAAGTTGGGAACTTGAGTACTGAAGTTGGGAACTTTAGTACTGAAGTTGTGAACTAAAGTTGCGAAGTACTAGCAAACGCGAAAGGTCTTTGTACCCTGTAGACATTTGGCAATGAATCCGTTCAGTAAGCAAGGAAAAGCTTTACCAATAGAAGTAAGAAATGAAATACTTGAAAGGTGGTTAAATAACCAGCGTTTGACAAACATTTTGATACAACTAAATCTACCGTATAAGACTATATCAAATGCAATAGATCTATGGGTAGACACTGGTTCTATTGCACCTCGCCAGGGCGAACGTGATGTTCGAACCACGCGTACAGATGACGTTATTGCATACGCTGAATATCTAAAAATTAATAAACCATCTATTTACGCAAAAAAAATTCAGCAACACCTAAAAAATATCAAAGTTTGCCTTCCAGCAAACATACCTAGCAGGTCATCCATCAGTAGAATTTTGAATAAAGATCTTGGTTACTCTTACAAGACAATAAGTCAAATTCCTCGAGAGACAGAGCGGCCGGACGTTATGGAGAAGTTAGAAGCTTACGTAGCAAATATTTCATTGATTGATTGCAACCGTATGCATTTCTTTGATGAGTCGCCTGTAGTTGTTACGAGTGGCAACAGACGTCGAAGGCACAGTATGCAGGGTACTCTGCATTTAAAATCAAACGATACTCTTCTAGTGCCACATTTACTGTAAATTTTTTACATAATGTGAACGTCGTATCGCATTATAACACTCTAAGAGGGCCGTCAAACGGATTAGAATTGCTAAAGCTTTTCCTTGCTTACTGAACGGATTCATTGCCAAATGTCTACAGGGTACAAAGACCTTTCGTGTTTGCTAGTACTTCGCAACTTTAGTTCACAACTTCAGTACTAAAGTTCCCAACTTCAGTATTCAAGTTCCCAACTTCAGTATTCAAGTTCCCAACTTCAGTACTCAAGTACACAACTTGTCAACTCAAGTTGACAAGTTCATAACGAATATTCCATATTTGGAAATGTAGTTGGCAACATTAGAAAGTAACCCTGCAACCGCCATTTGAAAAGTTAACTGAAATCGACAATAAATGTACTCTTGTCCACAATGCGGTCAATAAAATATTCGTGCCGTTAAAAGTTCCGATGATAACATGAAAGCACATTGCTTTTCTAAACAAGTCATTCGCCTTGATGCAAATCAGTAACCTTTGATAAAGCCATATTATTCCTATTATTATAAAATGAACTTTTGTCCACCATGTGTGATGATGCAGTCAATGAAATATTCGTGCCATTAAAACAGCCGATAATAACATGAAAGCACATTGCTTTTCGAACCGAGTGAATCGCCTTATCGCAAATCAGCAGCCGTAAATAAAACATACTAATGCTAGTATTAGGTATTCTTCGCAAATTGTCTTTCTGTTGGTTACAAATGTTTATCAACAAAAAAACATGCGTGCACAACTTAACATTTTTTTATCAACTCCCCACATTAAAAAAATCTTCTAAATTGTGACGTCATGCACTGGAAAATTCTCAGACACACGCCAAATCGAGATTTCACCAATACATAGGTCGCGGAAAAGGACTGGGTCGAGTGAATTAACTGTCAAGAATAGTGAGCTGTTAACACCAATCATATTCAAATTACACCAAAACACATGACAACGCATTCCGAGCCATACAATCATATTAATCCACTCACTAATCCAATTAGACGCTCTAAACATCTACAAATTAAAAATAGTTGCAAATAACTTCTTATATCATTCTGATGAAGGCTCGAAGCACAGAGTCCAAAGCCCAATAAAAATACTTTTATGCAATACTTCCATATATTTTCAACAATAATGCCAGGAAAAAATACGTGATCCGATATCAGGATTATACATAATGCACTCAAACATTCACTGCTATAAAATACTTTTTTATTGAAGAAGCTGTTGGCTGTCTGTCGAGAGGATACCTAAATACCGAGCTAGGGACTCGAGCTTGGACTCGAGCTATGATTCGATCTTAGACTCAGGTATGGACTTGATTTAGACTCTAACTCGGACTTGAACTAAATTAACGTAGTGCGTTGCGATAAAAAGTTAACAGCAAAAAGAATGCTCTGCGTAATAAGATCACAATGAGAACTAACAAATCAGAATTTATGCAATAAAGACAACGAAACACTTGCATGATTTCCGTTTGAGAGACAATTGTTTAAGGTAATTGCCATCGGCACATAATCGTTGAAACACAACCCTACACAAAAATATGAACTGCAAAACATCACGGCCCAAACGTACTCTTGTATGATAATGATATTGCCAATGCCTGGTGTCATATAATATACGAAAAATGAAACAGTAATGAAACTGGTCTTTTCGCACCAAAGTGTCCATTCTCGCAAATTCCTGTGCGAAATTTGCTAAATTGACATCATAACGAATATAAATGTCAAATGGAACCAGTAAATGGTGAATGCTACTCATTCTAAACATGGCAACAGAAATTACTATCAGCTTAGCGACTCCGTATTACTTATGACGTCACACACAAAGACGAATTTTGGAACTCTTCAACAAAAAATGGACATAAATAAATATGTCAATATGCTTGCAAACATTTAAATATTTCTTTCAGCCAATGAAAATGTACACGAAAATCTCACTTCAAAAACACATTAACATTTTACCACTTGACAGACAACTATACAATTTACAACCATTAGCAAATAGTTTTCCAGGCTGTAGTCTCTAGTTATCCACATCATAACTTCATAAATACTTTTTGATTTATGTTTGAAGTACTTGAGAATTTCACTTTTAAGTTGATGATTAATGCGTTTGTTTATATAGAGATTGTGTGGCAGGATATTACACAATTTTTTGACCTGTTGCCTGACATATTTTAAGGATTTTTGAAGAGTTGATGTTTTACAAAATGTTCTTTTTTATTTGTCACGGAATGGATTTAAGGATCTGGTGAGTTTATTATGAAACTTCGAGTTCTGCAAGTTCATTCAAGTTAGAAACTGACTTGAAATTGCCAGGAGCAAAACACATATTTGACGGCAATTCATTGGAAGTCACACTTAAGCAATATTTTTTCTTAATACTTCTGTCGTATTTATCAAAACTAATGAATGAATTCATTTTAAAAGCAAGAAAAAGAACAATCGAATCGGATTCTCTTCTATAAAATTTTATTGCATGAAGCAGACGTGTTCTTATAATGTTAGCAAATTGTAACTAAGTTTTGAGGCAAATATTAAACTCATACTTACATTTTACTTCTTTTATGGTCATCTAACGCTGTTTTGTTAAATTTATCTGTGCTGTACCTTTTTACTCTAATTTGAATTTCTAGATTTATTTGATTACTTCGAGCGATTCAGCACCGAAACAAATATAAAATAGTTACTTGGAAAAACAGCATATTAAAGTGTTAACAACAAAATTTTCGTTTCCTGTTTTTGTACCATGTATAGCTGGAAGTCTTCCTATAAATAAACATGTCTTTTTCTTCCACAATTTTTACATGTATTGTAGCAAAAGGTCTGTCGTAATGACTCTCTTTGACCCGTTCTTGAAAAAAATTGAGGCTCAGCCACACAGGTTGAATTCGACTTAACATTTTGGTGGGAGATAGACATCCAGTTACAAACTTACAATCAGGTCAACGGTAGTATTATTTGCGCTATCATTGTGGAAAAAATAGCTATTTACAATGCCACCGGCCACCTAGTGTGATTATTTATAATACGAAAAAAGACGTGAGTTTTTTTGAAACATTACGAAACTATTCAGTTTGTGCTTGACTCAATATGTGAGAAACATTAAAAAATATACCGTCACTCAGTGGCACCAGCAGGGATGGCAACAGCAACCCCCAATGGCAACCCTAAACAGCCCCAATTTAAGTCCTGCCTACGACACTACCCTCCTATCCTAACTGCACAATCACAGTTTATATCACAGTTAGTCTTCCCTTTTGATTGCGGTTGCTGAAATTATTATTTCTAGTGCACATGTAGTAATATTTTCCTGGTGCAAATCTGAGTAACATGCCACGATATGATGCCGGAGCATTATTAAGTAATACATTAAGCTGAGCACGATTATTACGATCGGTTGTTGATGGATAACAAAGTGCCATACTGTTGTAGTAACCAGACGACGCCATACTTATAATGAGATCCTCTTTTGATTTGGTCTCTATATCGCTGGACCAGACGATTTCAGCATTCTCGAACATCGTTAATGTTTTTTCAGAAGTGAGGGGGTAATTCACCGAAGGATCTTGCATTTCAACCATATTGTTTCGATCAGTACCTTAAAAACCAATATTAAATTTGCAAAGACTTACGAGTATACTTATTTAGGGTTGTATATTCCTTTCACACCTCATTAGCAGCAGCATCAACTTTAACATAAATCTTACCTGCAGTACCCTGTCCGTCATTGTTTGATGGATTTCTATTCGAACCTGTAGAAGATTGCCAGTTGTTAGATAGCAAATAACCTTCTCTTTACATAAGGAGTGTTTTGCAAAGTACATTTGGAGAGTAGTTTAGTAATGCAGCTAAACGAAAAGCATTTTTTTATTCACATGCGCGCGCACCGTTTTTATGTTTAATTTGTTTGTCGAAGGTGAAAGGTCACGTGTGTATTGTTTTTATTTTTCAACCGCTCGACAGATATCATACAAGGAAAAGTTTTCCTGTAGAAATCGATGAGCATTTTCAATTAGCGCGTAAATAATTTTAAATTCCCCCATATACACAAATAGAGTCGAAAATTCGAAATTTCCTTAAAGATTTACAAAGCATTTATATACAACTAACCGGCAAAGGCAGATATTTTTATCTAAAATAACTGGTCAAAAGATAAAAAGGATAAATTGCAGTAGTTTGTACGATAGATTACTTTACCTGTCCACTGGATGTGAACGAGACTGGTGTTTGTGATTTTAAGTCGTTTGGGAATGAAGTCATACTCCACAGCTGGATAGACTTGTACTATATTACCACGTTTACCACGGACGTTCAGATTATAAATGACGTCATTATTTGTAATGCCCGTACGTCTTGGCATGAGTTTGAATAAATGGGATCGGTCTTGAAAAGTGCGTCCAAATTGCGCCGTGTTAATTGCAAGTCTTAATTGTAATTGTGTTCGGCCAATGTCAACCGTTGGATTGTTTTGCACAGGAGAGTACACACCTTCATTCCTTAATGTGGAAATTGTTACATTCAGTAAAACAAATATATTTTCTTATTCCAATTGTTGAGCGTAAAATGAATTGTAAAAATAAGATAGCTGCGATACTTACTGGGCATGGTTTTGGTCACTGAAAGTGTTGAATGGAGGATAATCACCGGTGGAAATGTTATACCTAGTGGTAAAATGTTATGGAATTTAATGATCAGAAGATATTTCAATGAAAAACTGTGGCTCGTTAGCACGATCCGATTTGTCGTATCCGATTTTGTGATATCCAAAAAAACGGGTCGTGTGAACACATATAAAGCGAGCCTACGACAGTCAGATCTGTCTGTCTAAAAAGTTGGATGGAAATAGAAATTGCTATCAGACAAGATTAAAGGAAGCCGACTAGCCCCAGACTTCGCACTTTCAATACTTCTCAAAGTTGATTCGGCGCAAGAAAAAATTGGAAACGAGAACAAAAATACACACATAATATATCGATAAATGTACTAGATAATACGAAAAGAAATATCTAAAAAAATATCAACATCAACATATTATCGGACAGTCTGAACAAGCAATGAAAAGTCGGAGCCGAAACAATGGGATTGACAAATCGGATAGTGTGAACGGACCATTAGGCAAACATAAATTTACCTTATCCTGAAAACACATCTCTGAGCACGACGCGAAGGAAAATATGGAAGAACCCAAGTGTAGTTGAGAGGAACAACATTGTGCGCATTTCCCAAATGATTACTTCTCGTGTAAGGAGCTTTATAACATTCTGGAGGATCTAAAGCCACCAAACACCGTCTTAAAGATTCAATGCTGTGTCCGCTCATTCTCAAGTCATCAATATCTTCAGAACGATAGGGAATGGCCCAGATAAGACGTACATCATTTGTGCTTGCCGCCAAACAATCTGTTTTTCTGTCAAACTCTTCCTTTTTTTCAAGATAGTTGATGAATTGAACCCAAAAACCACCCTTCTTTTCACAGTCAAGTTTATTGTTATACATGGAATCGTGGCGAAAGCCGTCAGAAATTGTATTGTAGTACTGAAGACATTCTCCTGTTGAAGACAAAATAAATGAATGTACGAGAGAAGAATAAATCACAGTAATCCTGATTATGTTATACCGTCAAAATATCGAGAGGATAACGTGCAAACATATTATAAATGTATCACCAGTTTTGAGTATTACAAGTATACAACCAGCGTATCATTCAGGAGTGAACAGAATGGCTTTCAGTCGGGATATCGAGCAAGATGAAAAGTCCTACCACTTTTTAATAAACTCTATCCTCAGTGAATAACTGAAATTTTATTTTTAATTCATGATTTAAAAAAGGTGACAAATATAGCTAGTAATGTTGTAATCTTTGGTGTGTAGCCACGACAGGTGTGAAAAGAAGCGACTAAGGCGGAGTGGAGTAGAGGGCAACAAAAGGTGCAAAAATAAATAAGAAAAGAGGATGAAAGAACTGAGCCTTATAAATAAGCAAACCTTTTTCTTTAACGTTGAAGCTCTCATTTCGATAATATTCACACATAGATTGATTATGGGCAAGAACAGCAATATCAATCCAGTCTGTAGGATGCCAATATGGGTAATAATCACGTTCTTCGGGACATTCGTAACCATAACGATTGCCGTTTGGATTTTGACGGGTGTAGATGCTTTGATCACCATTGAGATGTTGATCAGCTGTGAATAGACCTGTCAAACATAGTTTTTCAAAATGTAGCAGGAGTTGAGTGTGTGCAATAAAAATGCTCAGAAATCGTCAAAAAGTTGTATTTTTTTAAATTATCTGTTCATTTTATTGCAATTTTATACATTTGTAAGGTTGTATGAAAAAGTTTGTGAAAGTTTGCAAAAACCTTTACTAGAAGTATTTGAATTACACTATTATTTGTTTCTTTAGGAATCTATTGAATTCAGTAAACACAGAAATATTTACATATCAAATACTTCACTGCATGGTAGTAGGACGTTCAATGGTTCATCTGACAGTAATTTTTTATTAACTATTTATTTAAACACTACATTAGTTATTTTTAATGCGAAGACTTTTTTACCCTGAATTGCCACAAATAAACGCAATTTGAACACACATCGTTAAAAATATGAGAAAGTATGCCATTCAAGCATATCAATAATTATTAATTTGGTCAATGTCTACTCGGACGCTCAGCTTACATATCGCGGAGTCTATTTGCGTTGTTCGATTTCAATGGTCGTTTTTAAAACCCATACACTATCCATGCATATACATATTTTGCTCATACGATCTAAAACCTTTAATACCTTTATTTCGATATCTTTTCTTGCATTTATCGTACCATTCCCAAGGTTCGTGGAGACCATAGGTAGTCTGTGAATCAGATTGCTTTCTATTATTCTTAGATGATCGAGAGGTATGTTGTTGGTGGTGGTACTGAGAAGTACTTGTTGTGCCCCCTAAAATAAAATAATTGATCCTTATGTAAGTGTGAGGAAACATAGAACGCAATAGCATCCAAAATTTTATTGAAAACAAAGAGCAGAATTGCCAAAAGGACTTTCAACCTTCTTAAACAAAATAAAAGGATGCAAAGTCTTAACAAAAAAATTGTACGCAGTACCCATCTCACAGTCACAGAAGCCAAAATTAGATAACAATATCCCCAAACAGTGGCATAAACATCACACAAGTTTGATCGTGATTTATAATTATTTGGTGTTCCCTCACTGCAAGAAAAATGGCAACAATACTAATTATTTACAAACATGTAATACTAATTATCTTAAATTTACATAACATGACCAATCTTGCCCATTGGCTATGCCACTGTTCTCACAACAAACCAAAAATAGTTTAATTATTAGGCTTATGATTAGGGTTAGGTGGGATAGACTGTTCTGTAAATTTATAAATACCTAGCAATATTTTTTTGATTTTAAATCCGCAGATTAATCTCTATTTTTGCTTGAAGCAGTTTTAGATCGTGGTAGGTCACTATTCAATCGGCTAAACACACAAACCTACTTCGAGTCGATGTGTTATTTCATTGTTTATTGGATTTAATATTTAAGTTGTATTATTGTACCATTTCTCAGAGAATCATAATTTAGTGTTCTGTGTGCGAAATCATCTTGACATTTGTATTGAAGAACGATGTTGCAGTTCAAATCTCTGTCACCACAGCCATGTTGATTGGTCCATTCAATTGTGAGAAGTGATTTGCCATCAAGACCAGGCGACGAACTTTTATGGGATTCACTACTTTGAAAATAGTGCTGGATCGAAAAAAAAAATTCGTATCTTTTAACATGTTTCTTGGTTATGCAAATTCTACTTCAATGTCGCAAGCGCGCATGTATGTGATTCGGTTTCATGGCTTATTAACAATCGTAAATATTTTTATTGTGATTCACAGCAAAGAATCTTTTTAAGGCTGCCAACTGCGGGAATTCTTTGCCGCAATTCTCGGCTATAGCCAGTGGCGAATCTACGTAGGGTACGTCAAATAAATTAGCTACTACAGCTTATTTTTCATTTCCAAATACCTTAGAGGCATTGGATTGGTACATTCTATTCTTTAGAGATTCATGACCAATATATTTGTTCTAAAGTTATTTTGTGAATTTGAAATCAAGCATCTATCATTTATTTTGACGAACGCTGGATCCGATGATCTGCTACTGGCAATGGCAATGGCTGTCATCATTTTGGAAGATTAGAACATAAAATATTGAACGCATATCACAGAATAAATTACCATATTAAATTGATCGTTTTCGGAGTGCGATGCTTGATCTTTATCACCGACGTTGTAGCCCCCATTGTTGTTGTTCTGAAGAAATAAAATTTCTATATTTGATGGTAAATGCTAACTTTACTTGCGATGTATAGCTATGTTGTCTTCACTTTTTTTGCTAAAAAACTGAAGTATTTCGCTATGAAGTGAAACAGAGAAAACGAAATGTAAAATTTCCGTGAACCTTCAAGGGTTGATGTTTCTTGGACCTTCCCTTTGGACAGACTTAACTAACTGATTCAAGTTTTTATCTGATTAGTTAAGTAAGTTAGTGTTTCTTTTGATGCAAAAATATATTTGCCATTAAACGCTAAAAAACCAATCACTTTGAGTCATAAGCTAAATTTTAAGCATATATTAAAAAATCAAAGGAAAAATCATTTCCTCTTTCACATTGTAACCAGTACATTTTATGAGCCCGGTCTCAAACAAAACATTTCATATTTAGAGAATATTACTTTTCTCTATGGGAGAAAATATATTTCACCTGAGAGTCAAACATTCTGTTAGCATTCGCTCGCGCGGTACTTGCTTCATTTAGGCGGTTATTTGAACCCCTAGGATTGTGAAGGTACACATCAGCATTGCTCCAACACAATAGAAGACCAACCAATGTAAAAATACACAACTTCATGATGTATCACAACTCTGCTTTCTTCGCGCACACAAAGGTTTCTGTTCTCAAATCAGCCGAATGTCGTTCTTATAATTAATTAATAAGGTGTGGCTAACGTATGTTGCCGACCCTCACCGAAGTTATTGTCAGTAAGTTTCTTGGGAATTCAGAATATTAATTCACAAAACAAATTGCTTATCGAAAGACAACAGATGTTGAAAAAATGTGAATTGCGACAAATGAAACCTAAGCTTAAATCTTTCTGTCATACATACAACAGCATTAGAGTGCATTCAATGCATTTCATTTACTGTGAATATTAATCACATACGAAGAACGTGTTGGAAAATACCCTCCAGCTTGAAAAGTCCATGCTAATGTGTGGGCGCAAATAAATTACTAAATTACAAAATTACCTTTAAGTAAATACGATAAAAAACATTTAAGGAGTAAATAGTTATAAAAAGCTCTTGTACCAATCGTCTATCTTAACAGCACTAAACAACAATTTTGCAATAAGCATGCATCGTTTTGCATTAAAAACCAATGGTCAAAAACTTTTCCTTTGCTGAATATGGAATTGTAGACAAAAGCCATTAATAATGTCATCCTAAAATGTCATGGTTTTTCTTGAAAAATGCTTGTATTTTAGATAAAGTTTTAACAATTCTGTAAACTAATTAAAAAATGACTTCAAAGTAAATCACACTTCAAAGTAAAATAACTAAAAGGTCCTGACAATAAATGATTTTTCGCAATTGCACTTTAAAATGTCAAATATGTTTATAAAAATAAATTCTTTGTCCTGTAATTGCCTGCTTTCGTCAAAATAGGCTAAATGCTGTGTTGATCAAATAGAGATAAGCCAAATTACATTTTTACTAGCGCCGTAGCGTTCAAAATGGATCACGTATTTTGATGAAAACAAAGAACTTTTTATTTATTGATCTTTTGAAAATAATGCATGCAGGAACGCAAACGTTTCTTACACGAAGGAAATCGGAAAGCTGACTTAAAAAATGTAAAGCTTGTTTGTTATATACGATTGTTACTCATCAGATAAGATTAATAATGAATTCTTCAAACATCGACTTTACAAGCGTTTATACTTTTTAAAATCAGTAATTGGACCAGCTAGATACCGTCCATTTTTCAGAAATCTTCGGGAAAAAGAGAACGTCAGACTTAGAGTTTCGCTATATTTCTTTAATCACAGATTGCTCATGATTTGCCTTCCCTCCCATATCTACGTCAATCCACTTACATTTTGTGGATGCCACGATTGGCAAGTTTGTAGCTACTAGCGCCTCATTTTAATCAATTAATTGTTCTGCTGACCTAAATATCACTCGTATATATAGTTTGGCTGTTTTTCACAACACAATTCATTTATTTTCGAAATTTTAGCCACTTACTTAAAAAAATTCTTTACAAAAATGAATAACAATTTCTTACAACTTTTTAGACAGCAATTCATAATTTCTTAAAGAAAAATTGTGCGTGTATGTGATGAAAATTAAAATTATTTCCGTATGCTAGCTATATAATGCATTTAAATGGTCTTCTTTTGAAATAGCAATAATGCATAATACAAAGAGCCTTAATACTTCAAGTATTATAATGATAAGCAAAATTCCGACGAAGATTGGAAAACAATGCAGAGAAATAAAGGATCTCTTTTTTTCTTCAAAATACGTGATGTACTTCTAGCCGCTGAATGCGGCAATAGCTTATTTCATGTTTATCAATACAGCAAAGAACAAAGAAATTGATTTTTTATAACCATATTTGGCATCTCGATTGTCTTCAGGCAATCTACGAGTCGATAAGCATCAACCTTTATAGATAAGCATTATTCAGCAATATTCGATTCTCACCCAAATTAAAGGATTTTCATGCTCGTCATTTGCAATTTGTTGTCACCATCATTCGTACGTTGTGTAAACGGTTTGGCACTTCTTTATAACTTTGCGTTTGCGCGTACTTAGCACAAGAAATTTTCTTTCAGTTGAGCTATTCTTAATGGAAGTGGTTATTACTACGTAATGGAATGAGCACTGCTTTCAGGAAGGCGGGAAATTGATAATTGAGTAGCTCTATATTTATATATTTATACCGTGGCGATCTAGGGTAAGTATAAAGATAAATTATAGAGGCTCATTTTAAATCCAAACTAATTTTTGACGATATTCTTGGCTGGATAACTTTGTAACTTTCAAGGTAAAAATACCCCCGATAAGATTAGGTCTAAAGATTTTAAAATGAAAATATATTTTTATTATATGTATAAGTGGTGTGCAACCATTCCACTGCATGTGAGAATGATGTTTCACAACTCTGCTTTATTCGCGCACACAAAGGTTTCTGTTTTCAAATCAGCTGAATGTCGTTCTTATAACTAATTAATAAGGTGTGGCTAACGTATGTTGCCGACCCTCACCGAAGTTATTGTCAGTAAGTTGCTTGGGAATTCAGAATATTAATTCACAAAACAAATTGCTTATCGAAAGACAACAGATGTTGAAAAAATGTGAATTGCGACAAATGAAACCTAAGCTTAAATCTTTCTGTCATACATGCAACAGCATTAGAGTGCATTCAATGCATTTCATTTACTGTGAACATTAATTATATAAGAACGTGTTGGAAAATACCCTCCAGCTTAAAACGTCCATGCTAATGTGGGGGCGCAAATAAATTACTAAATTACAAAATTATCTTTAAGTAAATACGATAAAAATATTTAAGGAGTAAATAGTTATAAAAAGCTCTTGTACCAATCGTCTATCTTAACAGCATTAAACAACAATTTTGCAATAAGCATGCCTCGTTTTGCTTTAAAAACCAATGTCAAAAACTTTTCCTTTGCTGAATATGGAATTGCAGACAAAAGCCATTATTAATGTCATCCTAAAATTTCATGGTTTTTTCTTGAAAAATGCTTGTATTTTAGATAAAGTTTTAACAATTCTGTCAATTGTTTCAAAAATGACTTCAAAGTAAATCACACTTCAAAGTAAAACAACTAAAAAGGTCCTGACACTTCATGATATTTCGCAATTGCACCTTAAAATGTCAAATATTTTTATACAAATAAATTCTTTGTCCGGTAAGTTCCTGCTTTCGTCAAGATAGGCTAAATGCTGTGTTGATCAAATAGAGATAAGCCAAATTACTAGCGCTGTAGCGTTCAAAATAGATCAAGTATTTTGAAGAAAACAAAGACCTTTTATTTATTGATCTTTTGAAAATAATGATGCAGGAACGCAAACATTTCTTACACGGAGGAAATCGGAAAGCTGACTTAAAAAATGTAAAGCTTGCTTGTTATATACGATTGCTACTCATCAGATAAGGTTAATAATGAATTCTTATAACATCGACTTTACAAGCGGTTATGCTTTTTAAAAGCAGTAATTGGACCAGCTAGATACCGTCCATTTTGCAGAAGTCTTCGGGAAAAAGAGAACGTCAGACTTAGAGTTTCGCTATATTTTTTTAATCACAGATTGCTCATGATTTGCTCCCCAATATCTACGTCAATCCACTTATATCTTGTGGAGGCCACGATTGGCAAGTTTGTAGCTACTAGCGCCTCATTTTAATCAATTAATTGTTCTGCTGACCTAAACATCACTCGTATATATAGTTTGGCTGTTTTTCACAACACAATTCATTTATTTTCGAAACTTTAGCGACTTACCTAAAAAAAATTCTTTACAAAAAAGAATAACAATTTGTCACAACTTTTAAGACAGCAATTCACAATTTCTTAACGAAAAATTGTGCGTGAATGTGATGAAAATTAAAAATATTTCCGTATGCTAGCTATATAATGCATTTAAATGGTCTTCTTTTGAAATAGCAATAATGCATAATACAAAGAGCCTTAATACTTCAAGTATTATAATGATAAGCAAAATGCCGACGAAGATTGGAAAACAATGCAGAGAAATAAAGGATCTCTTTCTTTCTTCAAAATACGTGATGTACTTCTAGCCGCTGAATGCGGCAATAGCTTATTTCATGTTTGTCAATACAGCAAAGAACAAAGAAATTGATTTTTTATAACCATATTTGGCATTTCAATTGTCGTCAGGCAATCTACGAGTCGGAGCCTTTAACTATGTCGGGTGTAAGAAAAAGCCCCATTAGTTTGAAATTACCCAAGATTTATAGATATGCATTAATCAGCAATATTCGATTCCCACGCAAATTAAACGAATTTCATGCTCGTCATTTGCAATTTGTTGTCGCCATCATTAGTACGTTGTGTAAACGGTTTGGCACTGTTTTAGAGCTTTGCGTTTGCGCGTAATTAGGACAAGAAATTTTCTTTCAGTTGAACTATTCTTAATGGAAGTGGTTATTACTACGTAATGGAATGAGCACTGCTTCCAGGAAAGGCGGGAAATTGATAATTGAGTAGCTCTATATTTGTACATTTATACCGTGGCGATCTAGGGTAAGTATAAAGATAAATTATAGAGGCTCATTTTAAAATCCAAACTAATTTTTGACGATATTCTTGGCTAGATAATTTTGTAACTTTCAAGGTAAAAATAACCCCGATAGGATTAGATCTAAAGATTTTAAAATGAAAATATATTTTTATTATATGTATCAAGTGGTGTGCAACCATTCCACTGCAAGTGAGAGACCAATGGAATGTTCGCCATGATGGATGACATTGCATTGTAATTAAGGAAGATCCTTTGTTAAAATCATCCAACATGGCGGCTATGACGTAGCTTGTACACCAAGATATCTTACCTACCCTGTTCCGCTCCCGCATTTAAATGTTATAATCCTAAATGAAAATGAAACAACATGTATAAAATAAACAAAATAAAACGCATGCGCTGATTGGCAAATAGCTGTGGTTGCATCAGCCTGTGCAAAACGCATCTGAGCTCAAGCCATCAAATCATTAAATCAATTAAAGAGAATTTGCGAATCAATCATGAATACATTTTAGAGGAAAAATTAACACGTTGATTTAAACTTGCTTCTTTCGCATAGATGTTATTTTATAAAAGAAATAAAGATGTTTTTCGTGTTAGCACAGGCTTATGCAAACCTCGGAGACGTTTGTGA